GTGTCAGTCTGCTTAAAGGGTCATAGAATGCAAAACCGAGTTTACATTGTCATAGATGAATAACGATAGTTCAGTGGCTGAAATGGACGTATAGAGACGTTCAAACCACATTGACACCTCGTTTCTCTTCAAATCTCACAATTCTAAGCTTCCACCATAAAAGGAATCCAAACAAATCCCCGAGTTGACATCAACTCTGGAATGTTGCCTTATTTGGTTCTGGGCTGTACTTTTATCACGCCCCGAAATTGACATATAGACCAGTTCACTAGTTTACTGGCTCAAGATAAATAGAGCTAGATGTAAGACACCAGTTAGCTGTTTAGCCTACAGTTGGGTTAACTTCTACAAGAATTACAAAGCAGGCAGTTTCTCTATTGAAAATGAGCCAGCCGGGTTTGGTCGCTCCGTCCCCCGCTGACTCCCTGGCCCTGTCCGCCAGAATTCCCGGACCAGCCCCAGAGCTTACGGCTCGGTTTGAGTGCACTGTGTGTTTCGACTACGTGTTGCACTGTACTCGACCGAAATCGCGGATGATTTTGAAACCCCCCCCCCCACACATTTTTTTAGGTATGAAAAGTAGGACGTCCGGGAGAAAGAGGATGTCTGGTCACCCTATCATATCAACAATTTCGATGTTTCAGTAAGTGAGTGCTTGTTGCTATGATGCGTCTTTACTCAGCAGCTTCGCTTGTTGTAAACCAACCAATCAGCGCACAGGTCATCTAAATATTCATTAAAATACCATAAAAGGAAGAAAACCTGTTGTTTCATTCTAGGGCTTTTAACCAAGCTCGCATTAGGGCATATAGAACAGCAAAGATGCCATTTTCAGCCCAACCAATGTTACACACCCTATTGAGAGAGCTGAAGGAATAGCCCCAAATATCCTATATAATCATTTTATGAGCCCTTTAAGTAAAACAAGGAAATTTTTGTTTGAACAAAAATTATCTTTGTGTTTTTACAGTAATGTTACATTGTTGATGGTCAACACACACACACACACACCCACATTGATTTGAAAGATTAAAGGCTAAAAGGTTCAGTGTGTATTCATCTCCTTTTAGAGGAATAAAGCATGTAATGTTAAAAATACCCACAATACTCTCTTCTGGTAATTGAAGAAAAACCTAAAGCGAAAATTTAGATCATACTGTATTACATACTCTATGCTTCTACCCAAAAGGGACGGTATCAGAGAGATCCTCCCTACAGTAGGTCAGTAAGGATTGCCAAGCCACACTTTGCATGTATTACCATACCTTGGCACTCCTTTGAAAGATGACTATAGGCTTGCTGCCCTATTTCCCTACAGTATATTCTGTAACATGAAAGTTAGATGAAAACAATGAGACTATACACTAAGCAACTGCAACTGTCTTATCAGATATTAATAGAGAAAATGTGTCTTTCACAAATTTAGGTAAATGGTTGCATTTTTCAGTAACTGTCTTTGGTCCAGCAAATGTTTAAGTATTGTCTATGTGTAATTTCCTATGTACAAGAAGCATTACCCTTAACTTGTGGGAGCTGATCCTTATCCTGGCTGCTTTGCGCTCAGTGAACCACCCCAGTACATGTTTTAGGTCTTTGCAGAAGGAAGCCAGCAGAAATACATAATCCCCAAAACTGAAATACCCTGGAACTAGAGGAGGAATATCCTTTTTTGAATGTTATATGATAAGGACAGGTATTTATTTATTTATTTTTTAAAGTATCCATTTAGAAATAGGATTTCATGCATTTTCCATTTTTTGTATTTCAAAATAAAATAAGAAATGTATAATTATAAAGCACGTTTTAAAGTCGGATTTACAGTTGTAGGATTTAAATTTAAAATGATTGTATATTTTCATTTTCAGCCTTCTTTTTGGGATAGTTGGCGTATGCGAGTGTCAGGTCCTGTTTTGTGCTTACTCAATCCTTATAAATATGACACCAGATGAGTATAAACCACTAAATCTTAGCCTAATGATGCTACTCTGCTATGAAATCTTTTTGGCCGGTGGCTTCTTTCTTAGTCCATTCTTTTAGTGGTCACAGCCAGGAAGATCATTAACTCTGGACATCATAAAGATTGCATGAACAATAATTTGCTGAACGGATGTGTAGGTCTGTTAAATGCTAAACCCAAACAGTTTGCTTATGCTGAATGAAAAAATGCAAAATTTTATTGATTCATTTTCAGTTTACTAACTGGTGATGCAAAATGCCCTTATCTTGCAAGCTGAAAGCTACAAATGTATGTATAAATTAAGAGTTTTATAGTTAAAAAAAACAACGAAATTATTTCCATATTTTGCCACTTCCAGTATGAGATACTTACATAGAAGTGTTAAGTTAAACTGACAAATAATAGTTTTTATTTTTTTATTTACATATCTAAAAGGCTGAAATACACAAAAAATCCAATACTCTGTCACATAACCTTTTGACTCAAATCCAGCATTCATTCTTTTTAGGTTTAAAGTTTAGTGGCAGGACTATTTTTTTTACACTGACTGATTTTTATTATTTTATTCAAAAAATAGTACTATACACTACATATGTCTAGAGTTGGGATGAAGCATAAAAACCTTTTCTTTCAAAGAAAAAAACATGGCCTTGCTAAAATCTTATAAATCTATATATAAGAATGTCTGAGCAACAGCTGACCTTTCAGTTTATGAAACACTAACAAAGCATTTTCATTCAAAATCTACTAGTGAATTTATCAATTTTCAAAATTCAAACTGAAAGTGGTGTAGTATAGCCAATAAAATGCCTGATTGGTCTTTATTTGATCCTTGCATGGATCCAGTTGAAAAAAATAAAAACAAGGACCAGATTTACAAATATTTAGCATATTTTATAGCATCATTAACAGGTTGCACAAGCTGCTTAAGTTACATAGATTATTACTTTAAGGAGAGTATTAAATCAGACAGAATCACACAGGAAAATATTCTTTAAAGTAATTGAATATTGTTTGGTTTTCTCTTAATGTTTCTCACTGCTTCTCTGAGCTCCCTCGAGATTCCCCTGAAAGCAACGTATGAAAATGTTCATCAGGCGAGTGAGAAAAAATAGAATGTGACATGCAGTATTGAGCTGTCAAGGCATCAGTCTAGCAGATTAGTGTTCATGCCTGAGCTGAAATGAAGCATTATGAAGGCTTTGGTATGAAAACAGAACTCAGTTAGAAAGGAACTTAAACAGTTGTTCAGTAATGAGACAAACGCAACTTTGCGGCTGATGATAGAGAATACCAAGCCAGACTATAAAACAAGAGGTTTACCTCACCAATAATTAATAATATTTTAATAATAATAACAGTTTGTAAATATTTTACCTAAAATATTGTATACATCTGGAGACATGCAGACACACTCAGAAAAAAATAGACATGATTGTGTGCTGATTTACAGCAAGACTTTAAAGAATGCTTAAAAAAAATAAAAGCTGTAAATATAGACAGCTAATTATAAATGTGTTACAAACAAAGGCAGCCCCCCCAAATGATTTACAGCTCAGTTGGTTCCTAGTATAACTATAGTCCTCAGTTATAGCCAATAATATACAAAGTAAACAACCTTAAGGGGCCACAGAACAATTTGAAACATTTATACACTTATAAAAAACATCTTCATTTTCTGTTAAAAAAAACATGCTGATAATTAAACATATGTAAGTTTTGGCAGAAATTAGAAAGGACATTGAACAAATCATCATAATTTGTTCAGCCCTCCTCAATCCATCTCGGCTTTGTTTCAGCTCTGCACCAGAAATATTTGCTGAGGGAGGTCCAGCGCAGGCTGGTAACCATGACAGTGGCAGTGTGGTCATGACCAACACCGCTTCAGGTCTAAATATACTAATCCATATGTGTGAGTCCAAATTTGGATCTCACATGGCTTAGAAGAAAAGGGAAAAACAAACTAAAAAATTGCTTTATAATCCTTTAATTTCTCATCAGGATATCAGTGCATTTCTGTGTCTTTGTTATCCCAAGGAGGCCATTTATTATTCCCTCACAATCCCCCTCCACCACTCCTCTGGCTCCTGCAAAAAACAGCCTGCCTTGTTTGTTTTCTTTTTACCTGCTTGCTTTTTTCTGCATTCTGTCTGTTCCCACCCTTTAAATGAGAGTCATTAGAGTCAAAACTGCACACTACTACTGAAGATCAACAGTCAGTCAAGAGATGTTACAGGTGGTGAAATATATATAGTACATTGGGTTTAACTATCAAGCAGACATTAGGGCTGCTTAAAAGAAATGAATTACTATATTTATCTTTGGAGCTCTATGGACTTCCAAAATAAGGCTGAAAACCGAGGGGCCCGAATGGAGGTGTATGTTCTGTAGGAGTTGTTCAGTTGAATTTTGCTACTTTATTTTGTGACTTTACATGCAAATGTGTTGACATAATTACTAAAGTAATATTTTGTGCAAAATGTTTCATAATTTAAAACGATCGTTCTACATCAGAAAGTTCCCTCTAAATGTCCCACCTTGCTACTACTTGCAGATTGTGGGTAGGTAGTTATTCTCTGAAGTGACATCTGCTGTTAGAAATGAGAACGGTAGTGAGTATGGTACACCTGAGGTCTTATAAAAGGAACATCATTCATGCTGAGGCCTGAGCCAGCTTGTTAAAAGGACTGATGCTCCACCGTTTAGGGAGTCCTAGCTGCACTAATAAGTTATTTATTTTAACAGGGAATTTGTAAAGATTAAAAAGAAGACAAATATGAGTATACTAGGTCAAAACTTTGTGGAAGCCAAATTATAAATGCCAGGCTTTTGGTATAAGTCCCTTCTAGCTTATTTTAGAGAATCAATGTTTCCAAATTACTGTATTCTCTCTTTTTTCCTGGTTATAGTATAGCCAGGCTGTTATGGATACTGTCTGGATTTAGGTGGGGCCAATCAACACATGAGTATGCTTTAATCCAAATAATTCAACAGGTTTGCTTTTTCTACAGTCCAGCTTTTTAACTCATGTACATAATTTTTATAAGTAATTCAGATATTATGATTTTTTTTTACTCAGTATTTAAGTAACTTTCTTTTTACTTTTTTTATGTTGGCATGATGAATTGTAGAAATTTCATTTGTTTCTATGATATCTTTCATAAAAGGATTATTAGGACTTCCATTTAATATTTGTATTTATATTTGATTACCTAACAAATATTGCCTTTGCATTAAATTGAAAACTAGCGGCCACAGTTAAGGCTTAGCTTAACCTTTTTTCGTCTCAATCTGAAATTCCCGGGTTGTTTTCTCCACTATACCAGTACCCAAGTAAAATAAAAAAAACACTTATATAAGGTTTGGTCACAGATATGGCTTATCTCTTCTTAAAGCATAATTGTGTTAAATACTGCTCAATATGATCCCATTATAGTGACTCCATAAGACCAGCTGTCATATCTGAAAGTCTTTGTAGTCAATGGGGGGGAGAGAGGAAGGGAAGGCGCTGTCATCAGGTTCTCATCTGGATACACACTGGAAAATGTTAATGTCAGATGGGTCAAAAGGATGATGTCTGCTTGGGTGGCACCATGAGCCTTTGTTGCTTCTGCTCCAGTGCCAACCGCAAACATGTCAGTTCATTTCTGTCTCTAACCGGCTGATTTATGTCTACCTGCAGGCAAGCAGGAGAGGGGTGGGGGGGCTCTGGGTAGAGACCATGACTCGGTTCAAAGAAAGACTCACAAGGTGAAAGGGGCCTTGAAAAGGGGAATAAAAGTGAAAAATAAGCTTATAGTATGCTATTGGTATCTGTATTGAGGGAAAGGGAATTCTATCGTTTTGACATTCCTGACTGCATCGAGGCGACAGAAGCTTTCATTGGTTTTTTTGTTGTTGTTGTTTGTTTTGCAAATCATTGTAACAGCCTCCCTTCCTTTTGTTCAGGGCCAGAGTAAAATGAAACCCTGTACATTAGATCAATTATTCCTTTAGGGAGAAAAAGTAAGGCAAAAAAAAATGGCAGTAATGATAACATAAATCAATCAAATATCTTGTATTTTTCTCTTAATCAACTCATTTTATATGTTAATTGAATCAAGCCTGAGAAGATACAAAATAATTAAGACAAGTGAATAATCCTTTACAAAATTTTCCTAAATGCATGGGGTTGAAGAAGTGGTTGAATTGATGTCATTGTCCCACTCTAGACTAATTCTCCTCTCAATTCGAAGGGCAGATCATAATCCCTCTCTGGATGTTGATGATCCATAAACTGGCCGGGTTTCTGTGAAGAGAAGATTACATCCAGATTAGAGTCACTTGCATATAGTACATTAGTACTAAAAATACTTCAAATTATCTAACAAACTAATCTAAATATTAGACTAGATTACGAGTATATTTTAGGATTTTCCTTTTCTGGATGGATCATCAAAGTAAGTGGTCCTCCTAATTGTCCATCCTTCTGGTGATATGTTCACATAAGGCCGTCTTACATGCTTGTCTCCAGTTAGCTATATTTTTCTGCGCATGCACGCTTTCAGGCATATATTTGTGGTGAACTATGGTTTCAGACAGTCATTGAAACTCACCTTTTTCCCTGCTTTCCTTTGAGGGTCATAAGAGAAAAAGTGTATGAGAAGAAGAGGAAGGACTCAGAAGAGAGAACCAAGACCAGAGTGTTTTGTGAGAATCTTTCATGTGATGGCATACACTGAAAGCACAGGTCAGGCTTCTCACTGATGCCTCGGTTGAGAATTTCTACTTGACAGGTCAAGTTTGGCGAGCTATTTGAAGAAATCCATTTCATATCACTCCAATCAGGACTCCGATTTCGACCAGCATCTCTCAGCCACTCCGGAAAGTGCTGAGAGATGCTGGTCGAAATCGGAGTCCCTCAATTGGATTGACCGTGAGCTAGATCCCGCTGACCCCGCAGAACCCGAACATCCAACCTCCGACCGACCCCACCTCGGTCATAATCATCCTACTTTACAAAAAAATAAAAAAACTCTCGGTAGATTTGTGTATTACGAGAAATAGCAATTTTGCAATATTCATGTTTTAACTTAAAAGTAAAGAATTCTGTTGTATTTAGGTCCAACTAAGATATCCCGAGATATTTAAAAAAAATGCGCGGTTAACTTCACTGAATGAGTTCTGTGAAGCCACTCCATTGCGAAGTCAGCTCCCCACCTCACTTGGTCTGTAGGGATAATTTAAAGGGTTGGAGGGCACTTCTCTCTAGCTCTAAAAACTATTGGGACACACTAAACTCGTGAATGCGCAAAACCGAGGGTCCAAAAAGAGTGCAAGTGAGAGAAATGGGACTGGGCCTAAGTTTTATTTTGCACAAGATCATGGTAGCAGTGCTGAAGAGACTGGGTTAAACTCCTGCAGAGCTAAAATAAAGAGCAGACGAAGCCCCATCTTTCAGTGGAAGCGCTTACTGCTGCGAGCTAACAAGGTAACAGGAGCCAGCATTCTTCTTCGTCCCTTCTCCAGGGGCTATACCTAGAGCTCACCCTACAGGTTTGTTGGGGGACAGTTCAGTAGATATCAGCAGCTTATAGCCCGGTGCAGCTTAAATATGTATGTTTCCAGTTTTTTCAAAACATTTAGTGGGGGCAGCTTGTAGTGAGGTGCACTCTATAGTCTGTAAAATAAAGTTGTTTAATTGTGGAAAAGAAGGCATAACGCAAGAAATGTGAGGACAATAATGCCTTTTTTACAAAGCTCCTTCCAATTGCTACATTATTTAATTTAATGTATTGATTTAATTGTTTTAAACTGATTTTTCAGAGACCTCAGGGAATGTTGATGACTTCAAGTCCTCCATTTGCTGGGTTTGTCTGCGCTCAGAGAAAAAGGGAGGGTAGGGAGTAATGTCCTGGTACACTCTTGTATCTCCCACTTCTTCATACAAATGGCTTTCAAAGTTCTCAGCAATGACTCCTTAAAAAAAACATACAAATTCACAATATGAATATGGATCACAACATAAATATTGATTAGTTACAATTTTCAGAACAAAACAACCTTTGTTGGTATCAGTGAGGCCTCACTGGCTGATCTTTTTTAAATATAAGGTGTTAACCAGGGCGTTCTTTAAATAAAATTTGTATCTCACCGAGGCCACTTCTTTCTCCAGGGCGTGGACTCATGGAAGGTTTGTAATCACCAGCAGGATAATAATAACGGGAGTCTTCCTGAAACTTGCGAATCAGAGGAGAGATTGGATAAGCAACCAGGTTATGCAACCTCCTTCACAAAGCATTTAAATACAAAGTTCATGGTTGTGCGTTGTGTGTGTGTGTGTGTGGGTTGGGGGGGGGGGGGGGGGGGGGGTTGGGGGGGGTACATGTTCATGTACTTTATTGTTTAGCAGAACAAGGAGAACCCAGAATACAAAAATAAGAATTTTCCCCATTAAATGATCAAAAAACTGCTTTTAATATTTAACGGTTTTAGTGTTCAACTTTTAAATATATATATATATATATTATTTCCACACACACACACACCCCCCCCCCCCCGCCAAAAACATTCTAAATGTAAAATAAGATAACCTGAGTAAAATGCAGTATTGATATGTTGATTTCATTCACTGAGTGAATTAGACTATCTAAATAAATATGTTCCATGTATTATCCTCAAAACCAAATAACGACCTATGCCCATTTGGCCACAGACAAATGGGATTTAATTTGCAACTGACACACATCTGCTTCACAGATCGGCCTGTCTTTCCCTTTGAAAAGTGGCAAATAGTAACGGCTTTTATGTCATCTACACTAAGATAAACCCTAGAAAATGCTTCAGAAGCAATAGTTCCATATGAATTTTGAGTAATTTTACAAAAAACATTTTTACAAAAAACATTTTTTTCTTTAACTTTGGAGTATATGAGAGTAAACCAAAGGCAACACTTTCCACATTTTCAGTTTTATGTTGGACAAAACAAAACAAAACACACACATAGTTCATTATTAGGATTTTTTATAACTCTCCCCAGAGGTGCCAATAGATGTTAAGGATAATATAAAGTTATTGAGGTAATGTTCACTCAATGAAATGTTGCAGGGGGACATATTGACAGATAGTTTGTTAGTATAATATCCCAGTGCATGCACGCATAAAATACAATTCCATTACAAGCCAAAACCAGAAGTTGCTGGAAGCAAACATGTTTCAAGTCAAACTGAGATGAGTTTGCCTCCATGGGTATGTGTGATTACCCTCTGACAGCATAGCTTTATCTGTTTCTTTTAACCTTAATAAATTATCTCCTTTAAGGCTTAAATCCTTTTGGCCCTTTTAAAGTACAAAATCATAATTTCTCTAAGATCAGTTTGTATTTTGCATGCTAATTGAGAGCCATTAATTGATGTTCTCTCCCCGTGCACAACCAAACATTTCATCAGTATATTTATCCCTTTTCCTTGTTATGCCTGAACTCTGCATTTTCTCTGCTGCCAAATCCCTTCACCAGCTACCTAAGCACCTTTCTCTCTTTATCCCTTTCCTGGTGTTTCTCCCTATTATCTGTTGCCCTTTTCTGTCCCTCACGCACTCCTCTCCACTTTCTCACCGCTGTGTAGCTCTCGTAGATGTTGCTCTCCGTTTCAGATCCAGAGTCAATGAGGAGGGTGTGCTGGGCTCCAATGTTGATTTTTTCTCTGCTCTCATACTTATTGGAGTTGCTAGCAGTTGATTGACTTGACCTACAAGCAGAAATCAGATCTTGTTCATTGCATGGTAATACTACTGATAATTAGTCTCCAGTGTGTATTAGGAGGTGTACAAACCACACAGTTTCCATAGAAACTTTTATCCTGAAAAGCCTGGACATTGTATGGTTACTAAACAGCTTTGGAAAAGTTTTTTGTCTCATTACATTCACAATGTTTTGAAGACAAATCGGAACATAATGGTGTGACCAAAGAACACAATATTCATAGTTTTTAATATCTTTTAGGAATAAAATCTAGAAAGTGATGTGTGCATTTCTATTCAGTCCCCCTGAGTCAGTGCTTTGTAGAGCCCAGTTTAATTGCACTTATTGCTGCAAATAATTAGGTTTCCACCAGCTTTACACATTCAGAGGCAGAATTTTTATTGTTTCTTTTTTGCCTGGTCATCTTTGCAAAATTGCTCAAATTTGGTCAGATGATCCAGGAGAACATCAGCTTCCTAATCTTTAGGGTTGGGAATTGATAAGATTTTCACGATTCAGATTCCCTTATCGATTCTGTGAAATGATTAGATTCCTTAACGATTCTGTGAAACAGTTAACTTAGTAAGTGCACGATGACATTCGTCTACCTTCGCCTGGGACATTCTATTTCTGCCTGCCTCAGCAAAAACAGAAGGCAGTAAGCGGGAGCTGCCAGCCTCTGAGCCAGCCAGGCTACCCGTCTCCTCACAGTCATCTAAATCTAATGGAGAAGGCATCCGTTTAATGAGAAAGCATTAATGTACAATTTCGGGAATTAAACTAATCTCCCCCTGATTTAAATAAACAAGCATCACCTTTCTCTCGCTCCCTGAACTGCAGAGCAACTTCGTACCATGTTTAATAACCCCAAAGAGAGGTAGGAAATTTGTTCATTTTCAGAAATGGCATATGATTTGCTAGGAACCACATAAAGCACAGCCAGTGATATAAAACTAGCTACTTACCACTAGTTTCCTTTCATGCTGGTAGTAACTTTAGCTTCTGTCCAGAAGCATCAAAAACACAGTATTCATTAAAATGTATGCCATCTTGTGTGCGCAGGTGTTTCTGCATGTTGGATGTAACCCATCCCACGGATGTAATTGCCACTTTGCAATGATAGCAAAGCATCTTGTTACCATCTTTCTTTTCCTTAAAATCAAGCCAAACTTTTGAGCGCTTTTGTTTTGCTTTTCTAGACTTACGCCTAGTCATATCGTACTTGCTTACTGAATGCCGTGTGAGTAACTTGCGTAACAAACATGACGTAAGTCGTGATGCCCAGCGCTAGGCTCTGGTGCTGCCTGGAATCGTTAGGGGAATCGTTAAGCGAGCTACCAAACGGTGCCATGGAATTGGAACACACGGAACCGGTTCTGAACAGGAACTGTTTTTCGACTCCCATCTCTATTCCTAAGTGAATTAAATTCCAAACACCTTTGATTGGATCATCCAAAAACTGTTAAAGATTGTTTCTTTATCTTAACCAATTAAATTCTCTGTCAATTATTGTCATTAAGGAAAGTGATCCTTCATGATAGGCATAAACATTTAACAATCACCCTGTATTTAACTCAGTCCATCTCCATTTTCCTCCTTCTTAGGAGGAGCACACTGGTAGATCGGCGAAGCCCATCAGGGAAACGGCAACAAGGAGAGGCGAGGTTACAACTGACCGGCGACTAAGGTCCACAGTGGTAGATCGAATATGTCCGCCAGGCGGACAGAGCACTGAGGGCGGGGGAGAAGGTGCGGTAGGCCAGGAGAGGTTCAGTGATAGGGAGACAGAGCATAGAGATGCAGCATCTAACCAGAGATAGCTCCTCTAGAAACAACTGTAGGCGATGGAAGGAGGACAGCAGACAGGTAGAACGGAGAAGAGAAGCCAGCAGGTTGATCGGTGGAGGTGGAATGACAAAACAGTCCTTCTGTTTCTTTAAATGCTACCCACAAACCTCTTAAGAGCATGTTCCACTTCCTTTTTCAACTTTATTTTTTTTGACACAAATGTAGACAAAAAATTTTGAACTCCTGCAAATTTTGCTTTGCCTGTTTTGCAGCCATTAAAGTGATCTAATTTCACCAATTCACCAAAGAATGCACCATTCATCAGTCTATTGGAAAGCTGCATCTCACCATTTACATTCAATTCAATTAAACTTTATTAATCCTAAAGGGAAACAAAGGAATAACATGGAAATCCTCTGCTCCAGCTGCATAATCCACATTTGGTGTGAATTTATCTTTAGTATTTTAAAACCCCTGACATGTTAACCAATTATTATAAATTATAACAAACATTTTTATTTAACAAGAAAACTTGAAACCATGTTACCTTTTCCTTCTACATTAATATTATTCAGTATTTTATTTTGGTCTCTCACATAAAATCCAAGTTTATTGGCTGTACTGTTTGTGCTATACAAAATTTAAGACATTTAGATTGATTTTTATCAAGCAAAAGCTCTTTTTGCCTCCCAAGCTGCTTTCAATACGTTAGCGAATAACATGTGTGAACCTTTATTTCATCTATTGATATAAAAAGCCTTGACTTACATTTCCTCTTCAAGCTTTTGTCCATTTACGGCCCTGTCTCCTTTTGCCTCTACAGGGGAAACAGAAATACAAGAAAGAAATACTTAAAGCAGAGAGCTATCCGATCAAAAGCGTTGAATTTTATCAGAAAACTAAAGAGGCCAGAGAGCAAGAGTGAATGAAAGATTAGCGAGATGTGAAAGAAATTCAATGTAAAAACTAGAGGGCAAGGAAAGGTGCTGAATAAATGCAAAACCTTAAAGATTGAGAAGGAGGCCTTGATGGTTAGGCTGATAACCAAATGGAAAGAGACAAAAGGAGGGGGAGAGAGGAAGGACATGAAGCCGGCCAATGAGATAAAAGATATGAATGCAACATTGAAGTGACAGATTTGAGGGATGAATCCAGAGCGAGGTAGAGGCTCAGATGGTGAGGAAAAGGAAAGGAGACAGGACACACAAACAGAAAGAGGGACATGAGAGGATGAGGTGGTGCCGAGCTGACAATTACATCATTGCTCAGAGTAATGTCTTTAGAGTCTTGCAGGGAGAAATCGGAACATTGCAGAGACAAGAAAGCGAGTAACACTTCCCCATCCGCAGATGAAAAGATAATCACAGGTACTTGTTTTGTCACGCCTGTTCTTCCACTTCCGCCCCAAGAAGCAGCCCAACGAATTCAACACCAGCATGACTCCAAACACCACTGTGAAGGCCACAGTCAAATGGGTTGTCAGGGCACTTGGAGCTGGTTGTAAACAAAAACAAAATGATCAGATAGAACAGAATCTGGAAAGTTAAACAGAAAGATTTAGGATTAAAAAAATAAAAAATAACTGATCTCTTAGTGGCCTTTTAATAATTAAAAACTAGCAGATGATAATAAGTATATATATATATATATATATATATATATATATATATATATATATATATATATATATAGATAGATAGATAGATAGATAGATAGATAGATAGATAGATAGATAGATAGATATGTAGTATATATAAGCAAAAACTTTCTAAATCATGAGATATTTATATAACTGTATAATGTAAAACATAAAAAATGAAGTAAATAATCAGCATTTAATTTCGAATTTAAACATATAATGAAAAATAATAGCTTTGTTAAGAGAGTAAATATAAAAATGACTTTAACAGCATGGCTTTCTGTCAGTGCTGTACAGGTAGAGCATAGAATAAAGAGACACCATTGGCAACAGTCTGTTTAATTATTGCCGACTTTTCATGTTGTTGTTTTGTTTTATACTTAAATGTGCTGTGTTTTTTTTGTTGGTAATTGTTTCTGTATATTTGGATAAATATAGCGCACAGCAATTCATCTATTTCTACAAATCTGTAATTTTATATCTATTTATTTACTTTTGTGTAATTGGCATCATATTTTTTGGTTGTTTGAAATCAAACCTGTCTTGTTTCATTATTCAGCAACCAGGATTGCGCAAGTATGTTAATCTGTATTAACATTTCATTGCTGGCTCCAAACAATCACAAAACACTATAAACAACAAGCCAACAACAATTGGTAATTTTAATTTTATTGCATCCTGAAACCTCAATACTTACACTTTTTGTGATATGTAAAGAAAGGAACTTAATTCGTTGTAAACATTTCGTAAGTATATTGATTTAATGTTACAAATATCGGTTTTCCATTGGCAGCTTTTCCAGCCAATGATGTTCACAAAGATAAAAGAAATTAAAATGACAAAGGCTTTATATCTCTTGTCTATATAAAGTGAAATGTCTATTCCCACTAGTCTTAAGTAATGTTTTAAAGTTTGAAATAAGTATTCATTTTTATTAAACAGCTTAAATTCTAAAAATTCGAAGGCCTTTTTAAGTGAATAAATAGGACAATATGGAAAAAAGAGGGACGAAAAAATATCATATAGCGTCACTAAACTCTGTTATCACAATAATTAATAACTTTGATATCAGTTATAACAGTTTTCAATTATACAATTTGATTGGTATAAAGTCTGTGCTGATCTGATAATTGATAGACTGGCACCGCTAACTTGCAAAGGAGAAGCTGGAGCTGGTAACTGGGAAGGACAGCACTCATCTGTCTTGTGCTTTGGAGAGATTAGAGACTAGCAATCCTAGCGTTGTAACAGATGTGCAAAGCTGAAGTTGGCTTACATTTACAGCCTTTGAAATGGCAATCACCTAAAGGAATATTCCACCACATTTCTAATCACCTTAAACATTTTTAATCTGCTCTAGTTTAAAGACTACAGCACTTAGTCTTCAAATCAGGATTTTATTATTCCACACCAGAAGACTTCCACCCTGTATCACTGCCCAATGTCCTGCATGTTTCAGATCTTTCTTTGCTTCTGCTCACATAAATCTAATGATTGCCTTTCCTCCTGAGCAGCCTCCAGAGCTGGATAGGCGTATTAATCACCATTTTATTTAAGTCAGGTGTGTGGAGGTAAGGGAACACCTAAAACATGCTGGACAGTAGGCCCTGAGGACCAGGGTTGGAGACCCCTGTTGTAGACTAATAGGAGTTTATATTAAACCCAGCTTGGGATTTGCTGTCAGCCTATCTGAGCTAATGGACAGCAGAGGAAGTAAGCAATTCAGATGCTGAGCAGTAATTTATTATGGTAGTCAAGATGATAATGGTAATAATGTTCTTCTTCTCATTATTATTATTATTATTGCTAATGAGGCCTATATTATCCAGTGAATCATGATTGGATGGATAATTGACCGGTGGTGGCCTCAGACCCCCGTCGGCCCCCTAGGTACCCTAGTTGTTAGACATCTAACTGGCTTATGGTGTTGCACCCATTCTAATGCATCAAACATATATATATATATATATATATATATATATATATATATATACAATAAAGCTTTGCACACACATGCAATCACACACACACAATCCAAGGGGAACTCACACTGAGCGTCATCATCCAATGGATCCCCCTCTGATGTTAGTGCCTCTTTAAACAAAGAGATAGAATACCAAAAGTAAACTCATCGTAAATGTTTTGTGGACATCAGTTGTCCATGGAATAATCTGGAGGGTAAGTAACAACTGACCCTTAGTGGTGATGATCAGTACTGCACCATTGTCAGCATAGCCACTCTCTCCTATTGCATTGAGGGCATTAACTGAGAAGTTGTAAGTGGTGAGGGGCTGAAGACCTGTAACAGTGAAGGTTGTTGTATCAGGGGGAACAACATCTACATACATGAAGCTAATGGAGTTGTCCCAGATGTATCTGTCAAAAGAAATAACACTACATTAACAATGGTTTTCTCCTCATTGTCAAGATGTTCATATGTTTCTTATTTTTATCTTACCTTATACGGAACCTTTGCTGTAGGCCCCCATTAAAGCCAGGGATCCACTCTAGAGTGACAGAGTCGTGGGTAACACTGACCTGACGAACCGATGAAGGCGGATCTGGGTGATCTAAGGGTGAAAAGGTAGGATAATAAAATTAAAAACTGATTGTATTCTTTGAGCTAAACACTTTCACTCTTCAGTAAGCTCTCTGAAGTCTTAAGTTGTAAGGAAAGAGAATGTAGGTATTGATAAGGGAAACAACTGCATTTCTTATATAATCTTATATTATATTATATATTTGAGAATTGAACTCACAGTTGTATTTAAAGCCTAAATAAAATGAAAGTACTTCAAATACATCAATATTTTAAGAAAGTTAAATTTGCTAAACATGTATTAAGCTTGAAAGATCAATAGCTAAGTAGCTACTTTTTAAGAGAAATAACTTCAACTACAAGTAATTAATTTATTAAAGTACTGTTTTTGACACTGGACTCTGTTCTTCCATTCTTCTTGTGTGCCAAATAATTGCCATCTCCACCAATCTTATATGTCCCATATGAAGTTGGTTGAGGCACTTTTCTTTGATTATGGTAGTTTAAATGAGGCTACTTTACCTTTTACATTTCCTGAATATTTAAGATCAATCGATGTTCCCCTTTCTGAAATAGTATTTTGTTCCATCTTTCCTTGTGTTCGAGAATAAGAGAAATATAGCATTCTGTCACATCACAGCTACACCCAAGAGAAACACAGAATTTTCCCTATTGTGAGTAGATGTTTCATCAACAAATTAATCAACCTAAGAAAATTATTAAGTCACACTCCTTCCAAAAATTCTAAAAACACCTCTACTTCTTCCCATTTTGACTGTTTAGAGAAATAAAATTGATTGCATCTTATTGGGGTTTTATAAGATTGAATACCATGAATTTAAAATGAAGGGAGCATAAGGTATAGTCTTATTTTTATTTTTTTTTTCAAATATAAGTCAAAACAGTGCATATCCATTTAACTTTGGCTCATAGCACAACTAATAATGAACCAAGAAAGGGTGATCTTTAAAGGAACAGTTATAGGATTATTTAATTGTTAAAACAAGTCACCAAGGTCTTTTTTGCAGATTTCTGTAGGTGAGGTATAAAACATGTGGTAGAAAATGCTCTGATTAGACAAAAAGGAAATGTTACTTTTTTCACATGTTAAATGCCCTATATTTGCTGGAAAACTAACACTTCGAAGTCTAGAAACTCAGGTCCTTCCAAGAAACACAGTAGTGGGAGCATCATGCTTTGGGGATACTTTTTTTATTAAAATTCAGACAGAAGCTACAAGACTTAAAAAAGGTAGTTTATACATCACCATAACGTTTGTCCACATTTATTCAAAGATGCCTGCAATTTCCCCTTTTTCTTTTTTTTGCTTCATTTGTGTTGCTTTTAGCTGCCAAGATTTCTAAATAAAATCTAACACAAGATAATGTCAAAAATATTAATAGGCTGAAGACTTTGCAGATCAGACGTTGTGTAGCACTGGTTTAAAAAAAAAATTCTAAATGTGAAACTGCATAATTATTATAAATAAACTTTTGAAAGATCACCAAAAAAAGGACAAAGCTTTGACTGTCTCCACTAATAACCTAGAAGCTGATTTGCATAATTCATATAACAAAACATAGTCAATAAGACATTGCCTCTTGATTATTTCAGCACCAATATTAAGAAGATCAAAGGAGCCTAGTCAGACTTGGACTGTTTTTTTTTTTTTTTTTTTTATACAAAGCGCTGCTTCAGTCAGGCTTCTGGAAGCAAAGTGGGCTGTTTTGTATTGGGAGCATAAAGGCAGTAATTTTGGTGAAGGGGACTAGTCAAGGTGAAATGAAGGAGAGGTATTTTGACGGAGGCATAAGCAGACAGTTTGCTGGTCCATAGTCTGTACACCAGATTACAAGACTAAAAAATTCCTATAATCAGTTCAACTAAAAGAAAGCAAAGAGGTTGCTTATATTAAACATCGCCATCCATGCCAAAAAAATATTACCAAAGACCTTTTTCTCTCAGCCCCAAAGTGATAAAGAAGCATTCATAATTTATCACCACTGTATCAAATTAATTATGATTATTTACACTCAGCCATAAAAAAACGAAAAGATGGAAATAAACAGTCAGTATTGGATTGCATTTTGTAGTCTTCATAGTAAATATTAAATGTGTCCATCGATAGCTGCTGGCATTTGCTGAGAGCTGGACCAGGCTGATTACACCAGTAGTGTGCAGAAGCATTTGGTGGAAAGTCTAAGTATGCCAGGAGTGTAAAGCTTATCTCTGCAACTCTTATCTGTGGAAGAAGCAAAGTAGAGCTGTGGGCTAAATGATAAGGTAGATTTAGGGGTATAAAATAAGGTTTGAGGGAATAGTGGGAATTGTAATGACCCCCTAATACTATTTTGATTCAGCTAAGATGGCCGGGTAGAATTTGGACCAGACGACATAGATTCAGTTTCATTTCCTGTATCCAAATAAGAACAGAAGGAAACATTCATGTTTCCCTGCCAAGTGTGTGATCTGAATAATCCCTACCCGGCGTGCCATTAATTATCCAAATTTTGAATTTGTCATTTATTAAAATATTCCTGGGGGAATATTCACAGCAACAGAAAAGGCAAGGAAGGTAGAGATGGATGCCAGGAATGGTCAGGAACCAATAAACTATTTTGTGCTGTCCTCTGTCTCTTGGTATTTATCTTGTCTGAGTGTTTATGGGAACAGGGAGGTTTAGGCATATGGTTTATGTTGGCTAGATAACCAAACTGCTGGAAGTGTTTATGGAATCATGAGATTACAGCATATTCAAATATAAATAGATGAAAATAGATTGGTTTAAATATATTCAAAACACTCTTTCATACTAGTTCCTTTTTTCACTCTAGAGATGCCAAAATTGTAGCACAGCCATTTCTCAAAATTCCTTTTTCTGCATTTTACATGGCACCAAGTAAAAATACTGCTTAAACCACAGTCACCCAGAGACACACGCCCATATGAACTTAAAATGGAAATGTATGCAGATGCAATACTTGTGCTGACGAGCTGGATGTCTAGCTTGTCTTCCCCAAGTGAGTTGCGAGCTGTGCAGCTGAAGACGGCGTAGTCCAGAGCAGCACTTACATTTACCACTCGCAGAGTGCTGGTGTGGAAGGAGCCCTCCCTCACTGTCCTCTCCTCATACCTGTAGCATGAAGATTTATAGCACACAGTTAAGAAAAAGGATGAACAGTGCCGACACTAAAGCACACTAGAAAAACAAAGAAATAGAAATCCATATCATCCATATCAGAAATCCATATCATTTGCAAGAATCTGAAAAGTGTGGCGTTCTTGCTAATATGTAGACTCCCTTAGCAATACCATGCAAATAATAATAAAAAAAACAACAATCCCTTTTTCTGCTATGTTTAGTGTCTTTAAAAGCTTTGCACATCCAGATAGGGATTGTTATTAAACATTGTGTTTTCAAATCATTTCATATCTAAACAGATGATGCCCTTTTGTACAGCAAGTCTTAGAACAAATTTTTAATTGGGTTTAGATTGTTTGCAGCATTTTTTTTGTTGTTGTTTTTTCCTTTGCTTTAGTGTTGTGTGTAGGTCTAAATGTTGTGTTTGCTAGCCTTGTTTTTTTGTGTTTGCAACACTTTTAGTATACGGTAGTAGCGCATTTAAGTATATGCACCTCTAAGCCACTGTAGCTAAAAAAACACTTTTGCAAAGCATTGTAAATGTAACTTGGGCTTTGTCATGGAAAATAGCAAACTAAATAACTTTCTGACCTGGGGTTGGCTAAATCAATGAGCATCCCTTTTTTTTTCCAGATAAATTCTACACGAGGAATGCCTTCTGCCTGACACACCAACTCAGCTGTGGTAGTGCCATCTCCCCGACTGGCAACCTTCGACCACTGTGGTCCCTTCCAAAGCTCTGGTGTGACTGCAGAAATAATAACAGAGTAGCAGGTACTCAGGAACCATAAATGCTGTATTTATTGAAATCCACAGAAGGATCATAGAATTATATTTAATGTTTGCTATGCCCTAAACTTAAAAAATGACAGACTTACATTGCACTACCAGCTGCATCTCCACACTGGCAGGGAGTGCTATGCTATTACTGGCCGTGCACTGGTAAAAACCAGCGTGAGCCCGAGTCACATTATGAATGGTCAGAAGGCTTGATTCATCTTCCTGGGTCTCCTCTCCCATCTCCACCTCTTCCTCTCCCTGTGGAATACAGAGTGAGAGGAAATAAGCAAAAGACAGCTGCTATCCCTCAGTACCTCCTATCCTCCCTCCCTGGGGATGGTGCAATACCTGTCTTGCTGCGTAAGGCAAGACAGGTAGCCGGACTCATCACTTGATGTCTGCATGGGAAGGGCATTCAATAGAATAAGCTGAGAGGACAAAGAAGAATAACATCAAATGCTACAGAGGCCCAAGACAGAAAAGAATGGGCAATAAAAGCAGAGGAAAAGAACATGCACTCCACTGCCAGGGGCGGGTTGGACCACGGAGAGTATCAGTAGATACACACCACATTGACAAATGTGCCCTTTAGTCACGCAGCAGTAATGAAAGCTATTTTTCTAGATTTGGGCTGAGTGTGAAACAAGGAGACGTGGGGTGGAAGGATAGTTAAGGCCAGTGAATTATGGTGCATCTGTGCATTTAGAGAGCCCAGTGATAAACGGCGAGAACAGAGAAAATAACAGGGGAAGCCAGATAGAGGAAATAGATTCTGGTCCTTGACTGTTGCTGCTCCTGCTATGTGTGCCTATGCGTGTTTGCTTGCAGTAGCACTCACTAGCCATTTCCAAGAGAACATGTCAGGTATAATGGGGTTGGCATCTGCCACACATATCAGGTCAGCTATTCCTCCTTGGTTAACGAACACAGGGTCTTTCTCCGCCTTGACATTGGGATCATCTGAGCGTAAGAAAAAAGGAAAAGGCTGAGGCAGAAGTAAAGTCAGCAGGAAACATCATCCATTAAAAAAGGCATGTGGATTTGAGATAATTACTCTTGCACTTGTTTGGCTTTAACTGGGCTCATAACCCATGGGATACAAACTATTAGCTTCTTTCTATGCTGGAACAACAGCAGCACATTAAAAACTGGCTATGTGACCCACAAAACCCTTTAATGAGAGCACATCCCTGTTCAGATTATGGCTGAGTGACCAGTTTGCCCTCTTTTGCTTTCCTCCATCTATCTAAACATCAGTGAATCTCTTCTACCAGAGACTTCACACTTCTTTTCTTTGTTAACCTCACAAGCCTTTTACACTTCCCCTGGGTGCCACACTCATGCAACAGTCAGGCCATTAGTGCCAACTTGTCTGAACCTATGTTCCCTCTTGAAGAACAGTGGTGAGAAACAGTAGCAAGACACCGTCCTCTGGGTTGGTAGTACCCACTCATGTTGGTCTCCTAACAAAGACCGACATTGTTAAGTGGGATCCACTGCCATAGTTAAAAGCTACTACAATCCTCCATACATAATGAATATCTACAACTGTCAAGCCCAGTCAGTGCAGGATGGCAGAATCCATTAGTCGTCTACCATGGGCTTTGCTGAATCAAACAGACCTAATTTTTAGCGCTAGCATTACTAAATCATTACAATCGAGGCAGAGGGCCTAAAGCTTGAGGCGGGGCCTGAGGCAGAAGGGGAAGTGGATGGCCTTGCATGGGAACCTAATAAAGGTTTTTTTTTTCTTTTCGCGAGAAGGAACTTGAAAACCAGTTTGGTCCTTTGCAAATGTACAGCTTTAGACGAACTTAAAACTGTGCTATTAGGAGCCAGCATATATGAATTGACTGAACTACTGGGACAATTATCCAAATCTGGAACCTAACTGAAATAAGAATGTCAATTTGTAAGACATTTTTATGCAGGTAGAGTGGCTCAAGGTAAAGATGAACTGTAGAATTAGAGATGCAAAAGCTGCTCTAGAATCCTTTCAACATTTATGTAAAGTTGCTTAAAGTAGTCTTTATTCTGCAGCACACTCAGCATTCCAGCATCCTATAATCTAGGCAATAGTTTATCACCTTAACACCAGATAGGAAAATAAATATGTTGAAAGTCTACCTAAGTGGAATATTATCGGAAAGCAGATTTTGAATGCAAAAAATCTGAAACATTACATGCTAAAGAAATACTGTATACAAACTGGCCTTTACAATTACAAACATGCACACCTTCATACTATTGCAGTAGGTGAATAAATGTAATATATATCTAGGATATATATATGCATTTTCTATGAACAATGTCTTACAAAGAACATCCAGCGTGAAAGTAGTTTGGTTGACACCTTCATCATTTTCACATTTGACGGTGTAGATGCCGGCATCTTTCCTCGTCACATTTCTAATCTCCAGAGAGTGATCATCTGTCCACTTGTGGCGTAGATCCTCCCCTTTGAAAAAGTAAAAACACAGGCAGACACATGCACACCAATGGGAAATTAGAGCTTAATTGTATGCTCATCAACATGTCCTCTCACTATCGGTCTTTTATTGACATCTAATCCTGCAATATTGATTAGCCTGGCTAGATTCCCCCTTCAAGGTAACAATAATACTCTGAGGGAGATGGTCTGTACCACAGTGCCCAAAAAGGTAATGTGTTTGTTCCTCATTTTAAAAAAATGCATTCATTATATAGGGTTATCTGCATATAATGGAAGTGACAGAGATAACAAAAAGGGTGTGGGTGCAGCTGGGCTCTGATGACATCGACCTGCAGAGGAAGACAAGTTTAAAGCTGCTGTGTTGTATTCAGCTATCCTCATTTAGAGTGAATATATTAGAGCTGTAATGAGAATCACATTTGGCAGAGTCCCATGCCGGCTAACCTGCTATGTTTTATTCAGACCCTGAATGGCAAGGCTGAGTGCTTACTTGCTGGCTCAGCTCAACTAGGACCTGGTTTATAGAGCCATCACACAGCCCTGGATCACCTTTGACCAGCATCTGTCTGCCGTGATGCCAAATGCAGGAGAGCACCTCAGGGTTAGCTGAGACCAACAGGGGGATGATAGCCACGTCATCCTCCACCACCTGGACTTCTGTTGCCTTCTCAGGACTGAATTCAGGAGGATCTGACATAAAAGGAAAACAGAAATACAAACTCACTTGGATTCATACAAATATTACAAGCAGAGAGGAATACATACAGACTCCTGTCCACAGAAATCCAACCAGAACAAACACAAAAACTCACAAAACACACTGAGCATGAAAGCACTGAGGGACACTAATGAGAGTCAAACCAGTAAAAAGTCAACATCCCACCAATAATTCCAGATCTAACCAACTTCAAGCACTTCGACAAAGGGGGAGTGAAGCAGCGTGGGAGGGAGAGGGACAGGCATTAAAACATTGCCTGACAGTACTGTTGTCCAAATGCAGATCTGCACAAACACACAGTGACATTCCTTCATGCTCATACACAGCACCAAGCTTTGAAGCAGAAGCTGACTGCTGCCTGTGAAATAGCATCAAAGGCAAACATGGCCATGCAGCAAAGTAAATGCACAATTAGGACAAACTGCCGGAGAGCTCAACAGACACAGACCATAACAAAGGTATCCTGTAAACAAAAAAAAAACACAGCAAAAATTCTCTGAGATGTAGATTTTATCTGCCATGTAAGTGATTAGTCTTTTTAAAGTTAAGCAAACAAAACTGTTTATTTACACACATACAACAAATAATGCAATGTATACCTTGATTTTTAATTCTCCCCTACTTACATAGTACATTCAGGTGGTAAAATGTCTTTGAACCCTCTTTCAACACAGGGCTGTAGGCCTGACAGATCACCTTCTGGTTGTGGTGCTTCGAAGTCAGCTTTAGGTGTAGCCTACTGAGCACAGAAACACCCCCAAACAACGACTCTGTAGGTGTCTCTTCCACTCCCTGGAACCTAGAAGCAGCCAAAAAGTCACAAATATGAAATTAGGAAAGTGTGCATGCACGAAAGCAGCATGCTGCAGTTACACCGCTCCTGTTACATTTTTAACTTTATTATTTTCAATCTCTATAATACCTCCCTCAAGTGATTCAGACTCCCCCCCTCCCTGTAATTGACATTTATACACTATTTTTGCACGCCACATATCACTTTACTTGGATTTTCACTTTACTTGGATTTAGTTTTTACAAATGCATATATATATATATATATATATATATATATATATATATATATATATATATATATATATATATATATATATATATATATATATATATATATATATATATATATATATATATATACTGTAACTGGAGCATGTAACAAAAGTAATTTCCCTCTGGGATTATTAAAGTATTTCTGAGTCTGATTCTGATTTAAAGTTTACAAAAAGTGAACTTGACAGCCATGATATACATCTCACATTCCATCAAATACAATTGTACAAAGGTGCCAAATGTAACTTTTAAATTTTCTTCAGGCATTTCACAGTGAAAGGTCTCTACACATTGGGCTCATTTACAAACCTCACTGAGCCCACACTCCAGGAGATGTTGGACTTTGGGTTGCTGCTCCCAGAAAGACACTCCAGATTAATCTCCTGTCCTGGACGCAGCTCCTCTTGTTTGGCTGTTATCTTCATGCTTACTGCTTTAACTGAAAAAACATCAATTTAATAAGACACACAGCTACAGTTAGAGTGGCTTAGGTTGGATTCTCCTGAACTACATCCTTAGGTATTCTGCAATAAACGTAAGCTGGATCACGTAAGTATTTGCACTGCATTTGAATTTATCGCTCCACTTAACTTGTTTTTTTTTTTTATTCCACGTTCAGTCTGATTTCTTTGGAAGACATGGCCATTGTCAGAAAATTATGTTCATTTTGGGTCTTATGGGAACCTCCTTTCTGGCTCAGCTGGCTGACCCCTTGTCAGTTGTGGCAGATGATCTCTTATTCCGAGTTTTTCCTTGTTAAAAGAGTGTTCCAGTGTTACTATGTCTATGCTCATGAGGAGGGATTGCTGCAGAGTCAATGACTCAAACCAGCTGCCCTTCCTCAGATATATTTTTTTACAGATTGGCATTAAATGATCAACTAGATGTTATCAGTGGTGGATAATCCAGGTTCAGAAGGTACAGAGACTAGTTCCAACCGTTTGCAATTCCAGCTCAAAAACACAGACTGGGGGTTAATCACCTACTAAGTGAACAGGATAAAGGAAAATTAAGCAGGGTTTTACTTATGCACCTGGATTATCCACCTGTGGAGATATGATCCTTTAAATTAAGTCTAAATAAATCACCATATGACTGAACTAGACTTGAAATAAATAATTTAATCCAATTTTCTTTTTGTTTGGCTTAGTTTGTTTGACTGGCCATTACTAGCAAGTGATTTTAGTGTTTAGTGTTTTTAGATTGCATGAAACAAACAAAAAACAAACAAAGTAAACATTAAACAAATTCTTCAAGAGCAGCAGATATCCCTTAGATAATCATGTACATCGCAGGCAGAATCTATGGTGATTACACAATATTATTCAGGGTAGTATATATCTGCAGCTTAGTATTTAGTATTACTGTGTATCCATTACCACCTGGAACCATACTCCCATGGTATCTATGCATGGCTATGCTCATGTACAAAGGATTTAGAGGTGTGGGCAGCCCCAGACTGGCCCTTTTAACATTTTTTGGATGTTCCTGCTGCAGCCTGTTATGAACCCTGCAAGTCAGTTACTGACGAGAGGGGTATCCCACTTGCGTCAGTATATGACACACAGGGAATTGACCAAGCGTCAACATATGACTAGATTGAGACTGTATCGGCCATGTTTATTGCATGTAAATAGAGTTGCTTCAGCTTGTTAGATTAGACGTGACTCACGTAATATTATGAGGTAGGTTCATTGTTTTCTGTGGTATCATAAATTAGCAGCTCGACCGGGTCTGATGTTCCCACTGCATGCTGGTTGGAGCTGAGCATTTTGAAAGCAATTTTAACCCAAGTCGTTTTGACTCAGGTCGACACTGGTCATTGAGCTGTTCCCACCGGCACCAGAAGACTACTGTTCCCAGGTTTAAATGGGTTCTTCGGCTAGTGGGAAAGGTGTACAGTAATGTAGTAGAGTGCATAAAGATAAACTGGAAATGATTAAGTACTTAACTATTAATACTCTAGTCTGAATGGACTATCTAAATACATCAAGAACTTTTATTTTTCAACATACATGACATCAGTTTATCTAATATTGATATCAATATGCATCACTGAGGCGACTAAAAAAAATCAAGGTAGTAAGGTATGCATGCAATTCAGCTGCTGTCTAACTTACATTGAACTAGGAGCTTAGCATGTGCAGAGATTGTTTTCATTGCCTCATTTGTGGCATCACAGCGGTAGTCAGCCTGATTGTCGCTTGCTGTCAAAACCAGGTTAAGTACCAGAGTCACAACCATGTGAGAGGATGTTTGCGCCTGCGTAAGGAAAACTTCTTTTCCATTCTAAAAACAAAACAAAACAAAAAATTTATATATATATATATATATATATATATATTGGTGTACATTTCAGCTTAGCTTACAATAGAAGTTGTGTAAGGCAGGATTTTACCTTAAACCAGGTGAGTTTCGCAGGAGGATTCCCTCCAGTGGAGTGACAAACGAGCTTGACCCTGGTTCCTGAGCGAAGAGGAACATCCTCAGGCGGAGACTCAATGAATACTTTCTGAGGGGGATCTGTTCTCAAGGGATGTAAATTTAAAAACATAATGTTACAAATTTTGATAAATTTAGATGTACTGTAATATTTTTTTTTTTATCTTTGTGTGATTCGTGCTCAAATTAATTTAAACAAAAAATAAATAAATAAATAAAATAAAAAAGAACATACAAAGTATCAACAATCTCCACTAAATATGGTGAACTCTATAGGGGCTTGTTGAAAAAAGGGCTGTCTGCTTGATTCATTATTGCTTGGCTTCTATCTTCTCTACAATAGATTTGATTTCACTTTCTAGATTGATTTAAAGTGATTTTTCAATTTGCTTGTGGTCTAATTCGAACCTTTGGGATGTGTGACAGATGTGTGAAATGTACAAATCAGATCTAAGTGCCTCAAAAAGAAAACGTGTTTACACTTTGAGTCTGAAAGAGTGAATTGCAAATTATACAGATTTAGGTAATCCAGCTGAAAATACAGAACTCTTTTTAAAAAGTGATAATGGTAATGCTTTTTTCTGCATACTTCCTACCTATGTTGCTTATAGAACTTGTAAAGTATAATTATGCCTACTTACAGAATACAGTGAGTTTAGCCATCTGAATTTTGGAGACATGAGTGCCATTGTTAAAAGCCTCACAGGTCAGCGTCAGCCCATTATCTTCCCGAAAGACTTGATGGGTAACATTGGAGCTCGTTGTCATCCCTCCATTCTCTCCCTGCAGACAGAAAGAGCTCACCACAATTAAGTTGAAGAAAACAGATAGACTTGGTCCGCCGTACTAATCTGCGAAAAAGCAAGATAAAAACGCCACCAACCTCCCTGATTTGTCTTGTGAATACAGATGGCAAATTAACTGCTGTGATGACTGATGTTGTGCATGGCGTTCGATAAATAACCATATTCATCTGATTCCCCATGCTTTGTACCCCATTATGCAGTGTCATTTTGCACCTGCCTGATAGTGGTCATGCCTATGCAGCACATCTGGTTATTAAAGCCATTATTGTGGTGATTACAGTAAAAGCCACAGTCAGAAAGACTAACAAAGACGGTGAACAGGAGCGTCAGTCTTCATTAACTTCCCACTGTTTCACATGCATTAAAGCTCACATGCAGCCCTCAGAGTGCCTTGCGCAAGATCAAATGGAAATGCTGCTGCCAGATGAATAAAGAGCTTGTTTAATAGTACTCATCTTCTGTGTCAGCTTTTATTCACTTTGATCTTATTAACATACACAAAAGAGGAGCTATTTTTTGGGGGGAATCAACTGACTCATTTGCAAAAGCAGCACTGGGTCTATTCGGGGATTGCTCATGGACATAATGTTTGCTTTCATCTACCAGGGTTCACATGAGGTCAAATTTCATGTAGAGAATTATTTTCATTCATTTGAGGATCCTTTGCTACCCTAATGAAAAGCTTGATTGAGCAGGAGGTATTCTCATATCTACTTACATTTATAACTTTTGGACATTTGTTTTTGTCAGAGGGCTAACATAAAATAGCCTATCTTAGTTTTCTGCTAGCAAAAAAAATATTTGAAGATACAGTTCTGGTCAGTCCTGAAGTTTTCTTCAAGCCATTATATAAGCAGAAAGATCACACTGTAATCTGGGATTAAAAGTAATGCATTTGAATGGGTCTGAAGAAGACAGTATACAGTTTAAAAGCTAGATTGGGCAAACAAGTTCACAAATGTACATAAAACTTATACAAGCAAACAATTTAGATTTAGTTCATATTCTTCAATGATGTTGCAGAGAGCCACCACAGTCATCCAAAGGCTTTTGTCTAATCACATTCCTTATCGGTGGAATATCTTCTTATAGATGGTTACTTGACACTAACCAGGCTTTTCTTAGTAGTTTTAACAGTGCTGTTAAAAATTGTCACCTGTTATTAATATAATCATTATCTCCATAGAAAATACAGTTTGTCTCCATTCACCACACTTATATGACAGAAAATCATCCTGGATGCTTAAGTAATACAACTTCCAAGAGTGAAGCCTCTAATGAACCGTGTTGCCAGATTGGGCGGTTTTCATCTTGATTTTGAGGGTAAAAATTGCTGTGGGCAGGTGGAGATAATTTGAGCTGGCTTGCAGTCAGATCGGCGGTTTTTGGGTTAACCTATTAAAACACATGTCCACGAATTATTCATCATTACTGGTTAAAAGCAAAGCCTCCCTTAACTTTCTACATGTCATCTGCCACGGTGTTTTCAACAGAGAACTAGTTTAGTGGTGCCACAAATTATGCTAGTTTTAGCAGCCGGTGGATCTGGTGTGATAAACCTCGTGCTGATGATCGATGCGTTATGTTGGAAGAGGAATCTTTTAACGATACTGGAGGTAACCACTGCTTTACGGATTTAGCGCTTGGTGCAATTAAACTCCTCACCCTCCCTATATCAAATGCATTGAAAAAGCTTTTTCACAAGTTGTACTGCTGAAAGATGAAGATGAACCTGCTGATCCTGTCAAGTTTGATTGATATGCAAACTGGATTAACACGAAATGGATGGACATCAGCAAAATTCCCCACTCCCTGAAAGTTATTGTCGAGATTTCATTCAAGCATGTACTGATCACAAATCACAACAGATTGTATTATAGTCGAGTAAAAGTTTAGCGTTCAGATGTTCAATGCTCCAGCCAACAATCTAATGAGCAATAAAGGTAAGAATTACAAAATTACTATAATAAATATAATTATTACAGTTATGTAAAAATAAGCTTAGCATATCTGTGTGTGCGCACTGATCATAGCTTGTCTTTTAAATGTGAAAAGAGCAGTAGTGGTTATGAATCCATCTGCAGACATGTTAGTACCGATATGTAATGGGTCACAAGACACTCACTGGATCTCAGATCGCTGTGGTGGATGGGTCAGAGTTGTTTATGGAGAAAAGCTCTGGGCAGATTTTGTTGGATTGTAGCATTATGTTTTGGAATGTAGTTTTCAATTAAGTTGTACTGAATTGTGTTCATGTTCATACAGAAAATATAACAATATATAAATTGGGCGGGTTTTTGTGTGATGTTGCAATTTTCAACATGTTTGTCCTGGAAAACTTTGACTTTATCTTGCAACACTGCTAATGAAGCTGTTGCTGCAACACTATTATGAGAAGGTACTGCTCAAGATATGATCATAAGCTCCAAAAGGGACACCTGAAGAAACCAAGACTTTTCGACTGTCCTACATGGAAAGGTCTTAGGGAAAAAACGTTTTTTGGTCAGGTGAAACAAAAATTAGAAAATCGAAGAGAGTGTTCTTCTGAAATTCTCTAATGCCTTTTCCAATTTTGTGTAGGAATTTTGTCTTTCTTTTTGTTCTTCAAGAGCTCTTGGTTAAACGTCGTCTTAAGATGACTACCTGACTGCCTATTTTTGACACATTTCTACTTGATGTCAGTGTTCGTCATTTATTCTCATGAGATCAATGAAACCTCTAATGGAACTAACCTTGGTATCAATGTCGACTAGATTTGAGCTGCTGTTGAAAGGGATTCCTACTGACAGAGCACAGCCGGTGTACGGGGGTCTGAGCGGCTCAGACAGCGAAATAATATTTGAAGGCAGGATCATAATCTTGATGAACTGACTGCACAGATAAGGTTTTCAGGTGGACTTTCTCAATTAAAAACATATTAAAAATACGTTTTATCCACTTATAACAGCAAATATAGCTGTCATTGTTACAGGCAAAGATAGGATAGAGTACCTCCGCCCAGCACGCATCAGACCCACTTTTCGACAACGAAAGCAAAGAAGCAAAGATGCAGCTGCGGGTCACAACTAAACTTGTACAATAAAGTACTTTTTATTTCTAAATAATATTTTTTATATTTATGTGGCTTTTGCAGTTCCTTGTATTTTAAATTATCGCTGACATGAACATGGCAGAAAATTGAACTGCCAAGCAGAGTGGCAGGGTTCTGCCATAGAGCTTCTTTGCCGATAGTTGGTAGAATAATGGTGATAGTCCAATTCTTTTAATGAATTAAAATGCTTATATCATAAGCCTTGGACTCAACACAGTAAAGCAGGTTAAAATTACACTAACCGAAAGGTCCCTCACTCAACACTATTAAACATTTATTGGTTGGAAGAACAATCTGGTAAAACTGATTGGTAATATTTTAATCTACAATGAATCTGGCCATAAAACATACTTTTGGATTCTCTCTAACTTACAAAAAGTACATTTATGAAAACATTAGTTGGGGACAATTAATTTTACTCAGTTTCAGTGAATATAAAGAATTCTATAATAAATAAAGCCTCGAGTTATATGTAATGAGTTCCCCCAACACTGAACAGTTCAGTAATATGATATTCTGATATTCATATGTATGTTTCTGATCAGGCTGTAAAACCCACTGCTTTCTTTATCTCATTGCTCTTCCTGCCATCTACCTGCTCTGCTTGATACAAACTCGCTTTGTGTATGTGTGTGCCTTGCAGCCCCACCTCTTCTATTGTGACACTAGTGTTGTTGAGCTCCTTGTAACCGAGCCACCAACGAATGTGGACTGCGGGATTACTTGAGGAAGCATGGCAGCTCAGAGTCAACTCCTGCCCCTCGACGGCCTCCAGCAAACCCGACAGCGTCAACTCCACAGGATCAACTGAAGAAAATGCACCCACATACACAGGCAAACACACAAAGAAGTCAGTAAAAATATCACCCCGCATTCAACAGCTCCCTATTCTGATCACAGTGGCAGAGAGACTATTTTAGGATGTGAGACACAGAGCATGTATCAAGGGTGAGAGTGAAAATCACTTTGAGTGGCAACTTGTTTTCTCTAGGGGTTTTTCATTGTGGTTTTTAAAGTCTGCTTCATTTTAACCAGAGGGGGAGACAGGGTACAATCGCTGCAGGCGATACGATGCAGTAGTATAAATCCTCCAGGGGAATACAAAGGCTGGAAGGAGGACTGAACTGACAGGTTCAGGGAAGGTAGGTCATGTGTGTCAGTTTGCATGTTTATATATATATATATATATATATATATATATATATATATATATATATATATATATATATATATATATATAAAGAGTGGGAAAGAGACAGACAGAATGACAGACAGACATAATATGTATTATTGTAAGAATTCCAGCATGGAGTCTCACTCTGTACCCTGCAGCATTTGTTAGAGCTCTAAATCTGCAGTTCATTTTCAGCATCCCTGAATGGATGACTTGAAGGCATGGCACCAGAGCCTGCAGGGGATACGGTAAGGGAGGGGGGTGGGGGGTTGGGGGTTTAGGGAGTCATATGGGTGCAACCTCACTCACACTGAGACAGCAAGTGCAAATAACTTTCATATTATATATATATATATATATATATATATATATATATATATATACAGTATGTACATTGTAGAAATACTGTTTAATGCTAAAATCCAACTCCACCAAATTGCTACTGAAGTAAACATTTTACATTCAGAGTAGAGAGTATGATCTATTAACTGTGGTTGTTACAGTTGCTCCAAGTGTAGTCTGAAGTGCCTAAGGACTGTCAAGTGAAGCAGTTGGACTGAATTAATGCAACAGCTCTGAGAGAGATAGGTAGTGATGCTAGTCTGCAGGCGGTAAGATATATTGGCTTCAGCCACTATAATCATTAGTTTTATTAACCATATTAACATTAGCCTTTTTTTTTATCTTGAACTTTGAGATTTTAATTGCTTTTTCTTGAATCTTTAATATTCCATAACGAACAAGAACAAAAAATTGCTTTGTATGGTCTCCTCTTTCACTCACATAGCACTGTTATTTTTCGAGTGATGTATAGAGGAGACAGGGAGACAATATTGGAACTTTCGCAGCTCAACTCTGCCTGGTTATCAGCAGGGGTGATCTTTAGTCTTAGGATGTTCCTGGACCTTTGGCCCACGACTTCCTCTCCCCAGGTTGTAGAGAGAACTTCGCCTTCCTGTAAAAAGGATGAAAGTGTGGGGAAAAAAGGTGGCAGCATGTTTGAAAACAGAACATTACAAAAAGAATTTACACTCTTTTTCTTTTCGCTCAGCATTACTATAAATGCACAAACATCGAGAAACATTTTATGTGATAGACAAACAGAATGCAACACATTTTTGATATGGATGAAAAACAACACACTGTAGAAGTAGATAGATACAGCAGTTTAAAAAAACTCTGTTAAAAGTTGAAGTATCAGCTTGACCTCTTTACTCAAGTAAAAGTGAAAAAGTTTGTGCTCCAAAAGTAACCTTTAGAAAAAAAAAATCCAGATGCCACTATATGAACTGAAAGCTCAATTTTTCAACTATACTGAAAAATTCTTTGACATAGGGCCAAGGATGGGGGAAGTCTTCCATCTCCCGATACGCTCTCACATGTGTCCGACCTTTCAGACATTTCAACATCTTTTTCTGAATCTGACATTGTAGCATGGCATAGATAATTCACTTTTGCAGTTTGAAGAACACCTCCTTGCTTCTGATGATTTCCTTTAACTAACCAATGAGTGTTTGTGTTATATGACGCGTCCAATCACACTAGTTTTCACTAGATGTGGATGGCGCCAATGATCTGCATTGGATGGCACACATGACGTGAAATAAATATTCAGAAACATTAAACTGAAGACGAGTAACAAGTAACGTTTGTTTTAAAAATGTAAGGAAGAGAAAGTACAGATACTTGTGTGAAAATGTAATGAGTCGAAGTCAGAAGTAGGAAGAAAAATAAGTGATGGAGTAAAGTATAGATACCTAAAAAGTGTACTTAAGTACAGTAACGAAGCATTTGTACTTCCTTACTGAGACCTCTGCTTATAAGTCACCTAAATAATAAAACAGTCTTGTAGTCTTTTTTTTAATTTTTATGTCACTCTAAATACTTTTATCAAGTGACAGTTATAACATAAGTCGAAAAAACAAACAGCATCACTATGTTCAAGATAGTTCAAATCAGGCATGAAGCAGTGTTTAAAGCAGACTGAGGTAAAAAAAAAACATTAAAAAGTCCAACATTTTTATGATCTCATAACAGACTGTATGACTGAAGGAGCAGCAGAGACCCAGAGCTCAGGTGGGAGAAAGTTAGCAAGCCAACTATCACACGTATCTCTATAGAACATTTCTTAAGTGGAAAGTGGTTGTTAAACACAGCTGTTGACCAACAGTGAACTTTTTGGTCTACATGTTATAAACCCTGCCCAGTAAATATTTGAGTGAGAATCCACCTTAAAGTTTTAACCCTTATACAGTTTTCCATCCATTCTGATAAAGCTTTAGCCATATTGAAAGGAAAAAGTAATAAGTTTAATCTACGTTTGCCTAATCTTCAATGATTCAAAATAAGTGGAGCGAAATTGCACTTACAATGTTATTTAACTATGTGCAAAAAATGGGTGCATTGCGGACGATCTACAAAGATTGATGCATAAATGCTAAGATATGCAAATCAGTTTGGTCCTATCCCATTAATATAAACAGATTTTGCTTTACCGAATGTTCAAGTCTTGTCTTAAAAGAAAGTTAAGGTAATGATACAAGTTATGCAATTCAATTCAGTTTATTTATATAGCACCAATTCACAACACATGTCATCTCAAGGCACTTTACAGTTCACCAGATCAGTCAAATTTATTCAAAGTCTTCTATCTAAGGAAAACCAGTTGATTTCATCAACTCATTGACTAGAAGGCAATCCCACACACCAAGCATGATTGTAGCGACAGTGGAGAAGAAATCTCCCTTTTAACAGGAAGAAGCTTCCAGCAAAACCAGGCTCAGTGTGAGCTGCCATCTGCCGAGGACGACTGGGGATCAAGGAGACAGAAGCAGACAGAGAGAAAGATGCAGAAACATAAAAGGTAACTGTAAACCAGCTCCACAGGCGGACCTGTCAAGGACACACACAGCCAGGCAGATGATTTCCAAGCCAGCTCCCATGTAAAAGGATGAAGAGAGCACACCCAGCCAGTCACAGTCAGATAAACAGGACCACTGAAAAACAGGCTGATCTCCAACATCTTTAAACAAAGGTGTTAATGGCTGCAGCACAGCTGATATTTCTCTCCAGGATGGTGTCACAGCCAAACAACAACAGACCAGATGAAGCTACTATGAGAAAAGGCAGAGAAACCGTAACATTAGAGATCGAACTAACAAATTCTGAAGAGTGGGAGAATAAAGAGATTGAATGAAGCAGAATGATGAACAAGGGGTCCCTATGTCCTCCAGCAGTCTAAGCCTATAGCAGCATAACTATAGAGCTAGAACAGGATAACCTGGGCCAAACTTACTATATGCTTTATCAAAAAGGAAGGTTTTAAGCCTACCCTAAAAGGTTGCACAGACAGCGATACTAACATCACGCAGCATCTGTGTGCAGAGTCGGTAGCATATGTAATGTTAGCGGGTCTAACGACCGATGACGTTTTATCAGAAAGATAATAAAACTCAAAAAGATCTGTTTATGGTGAACAAAGTAATTGTTAGACAATGATATAAAGTGGGAGAGCTGGGTAGAGCTAGCTGTGCTCAGTAGCTAACAGGTTAGCCTCTTTAAGCTCGGTCAGTTAGCCATATTAAGCTACAATACACTTCGTGTCAACAACTGTTCATTTTCTACAAGTAGAATAACTGTTGTTTTATTTGTCTAAAATCTCTACGGAAGTCATTTTTTAAGATGTCCCATTTGTCCTCCACTGCCCTCAGATCTTAATAAAAAGAGTAAAAATAAGCTTAGTCAACTTGTTAAACTGCAGAGCTCAGTCTTAGAACGGCAGAGCTCAGTCTTAGAACGGCAGAGCTCAATCTTAGAACGAGGCACTTACCTTCAAGACTGAGCATGATTTTTTTGTACTTTCGGTTACTTTAGAACACCAATGAAATGTAAAATAATAGCAAATATAGATAATAATAAGTTGAGAATCCAAAAGAGATTTAATCCTTAAGAAATGGGTGCAATACAGTTTGTCCGAGTAGAGTTGCCATATGTTGACATCATAAGAAGGGACAGGACCCCAAACAGATCTGGTATCTACATCGGTTGAGCAGAACCACTTCCAGGAGGAATGATGGTTAACCTTTATTGGGATATAACAAATAGAACACTTTATTTACACTTATTTCTAAGTGCAGGCTGTCACATATGCAACAATATTTAAGTACAGTGATTTTCTGGGGGGTTGATTTGTATAAAATCTTCTACCATCTCCCTACATTGACTGGTGTCCACTGTTTTTACTTAATTTTAGAATGTATTTTAATTCTTGCATTGTACCGGTGCCTGCTTTGTGGCAGCAATGACTGCAGATATTTTTGCATGTCAGTTTGTCACCGGCTTTCAGAAGTAGCAAAAAACTTTGCACCTTTTTTTCAACACATGCTTTGCACGTGCTAAATGTTTACATTTGCATATCCTCCACCCAAATTGAATTTATGCAGTTTGGTCAGAAGAATATGAGCTGCATATTGATGAAGGCAAACATGAAAAAAGGTTTGCACTCACAGTCTGCTGAATTACAAGCGCAATTTACTTGCCACCTTGTTTATAGATCTGCTCTGCACTTGTTTTGAGACACACAAACAGAAACATACCATATAGAACTTAGAGCTGCTAATGCAACAAGACACAAGACACAAAAAAATAAGTCAGGGTAGAATATCTTGTTTTAGTTTGCATTTCAGTCCACAATTGCAAACCCATCGTTTGCTGATCTTATTTGTAAGAAAACAAAAGCATGTAACCTTCTCGGATTTTGTCAGAACTACAAAAGAATTCTGACAACCTAGAGCTAAGGGATTTGTGAAATAAAATGTCTCATATAGCCAGTGTGGGTTTTTTGCATCTTGATTTAGCAGATGTTGAAGAGAATTTACCTTAGTCCATTGGAGAGTGGCAAGGGGGTTTCCACCATCGGACACACACTCCAGCACAAGCAATTTTCCTGCTATAATCTCATTTCTCTCCAAACCAATAATATATGGCGGATCGGGTGGATCTGTCAGGGCGAAAAAACAATGGTGCAGAAAAATCTTCAGGTTAAGTAAAATACAGACATTTATATCACAATTTCAACATATGCTAATTATAGCGTTATACTGTATGTGGTATGGGAGGACTGTTTAGTCTACAGTTAACTACATTCTATATTTGGAGTATAATTTAAGAGTATTAATAAAAAGTTATCTCTTGAAAAGAGTCAAAATGTCTCACAAGCTAAGGTAGAGTTGTTGATTAATATTATCTATTGCCAGCAATCATACCTGTATTTTATGTTTGATTATGGATTATCTTGGCAGCCTGCAGTCAATCAAGAAAGCAAATGCATGGCTTTTACTCTTCGGCAGAAATACATTTTCCTTGAGTCCTCCTGTTTAAATGGGTTCTGCAACAAATTTGAACTCAGATCTTTTAAAACTGCTTCTTTCCAGATTTAATCTGGTATCATATGGTCTGAGGTTGTCAGTATTACTGTAGGCACATTTTAGGACTAAAGACAGTGGGGTCTTTATTTTTTTAAAGGCCCCACTCCCCCTGCAATGTTAGGCCTTTATCTTTGCATCAATTGGATTTATATTTCTAAAAAAAAAACAACTCAAAACACTTTTTTTTTTCTTCAACAGGACTTGAATGACTTACAGTAAGTGCTTTATTTGATAGGGACCTCTATCATTTTTTTAACTGTAGTAATCTGTATATTCCTATATATTTATGCAGTTCATTCACGTGTCACAATATTCTCCAGTAGTTTTCCCTCATGTTTCTGCTGCACCTGATCATCCATTAATTACTTTTTATGTATTAATCGCAAGGCTAAAGAGACGCAAACAACCATGCACACACAGACTCATATCTAAAGGTGATTATGAGGGACCAATGAAACTAAAAGTCCTGTTTTTGGTTTGACGGAGGAGAAAATCCATGCATGCAAAGGTAAAAACACAAGCCCCATGCACCCTCACCCCCTTCGGGTTTCACATCCCGGACATTGTGGCTACCAGACAACAGTCCTACCAACTGCTTTATCCTGCAGCCTTGTTTTAAACCTTTTCCACATAATTCTGCATGCATATAAGTCCACAACTGATACACATCTTGACTGCATCCTCTGTGTAGTTTGTGAGATCCCATGTAGAAATTGGTGTGTTTTTTTGGGAAATGTGTAACATCAATAAAGATTGCTTCCTGGCTAAAATAAAAGACTGAGCACAATGTCTCCCTATTTGTTGGGAGAGATCCATTAAAGTGGTCCCATTCAACATGATTGTGGGTAAGAGGTCCAGATCTGATGAAAGCATTAAGAATTAAGGGGAACATTGTGTCCATAAAGCAAAATAACAGATGTTCAAGCAGTAATAAGGAAGCATGAAATATGAATAAATTACAGCTGGGCTTGAATAAAATATATGCAGTAAAATGAATTAGAAGAGGATGGGCTTTTGTTATTGCTGCAATCAGTTTTAGGGAGCAGCCTGCAGACCCTAGGCCAGCATGATAAATTGCCACCTTGCTGACAATCTGGCTGGCAGAAAATGGCCACCGCACTGGCTTTGATGGGCTGGCACACTGAGTAATACTGCAGCACAGGTCCCAAGTTCTGCAACATTAGCATTTTGCTACAGACAGACCCTTTTATTTATATGATGATGGAGACAAAAGAAAAATACTTTGAACGTAAAGGGCTTTAGTTTGAGAAGGTTAATCAGGGTTTCAGTCAGCTTAAAGAAGATAAAAGATGTTCAACCTGGAAATCTTTACTTAAACATAACCATAAGATGGAAAACAATCTTATTTTAGCTTATCAACTTTCTATAAAATAAAGATTTCACTGTAGCTGCCATGTCACACTGCTTCATGCATTAAGAAACAAAAGCTTTCACTGTTGCGCTGCCAAACAAGAGCAAAAAGGACATTAAATAACAATAAGAGAAAGTGCCAGCGTGTGTGCCAACTAACCTTTGTGCTGAGTAGCATCCATTTTATTCCATGTTGTCAGACAGTTTGTGAAAACAGTCTGAAGGAAAAGGCATTTTCTGCCTTTGTGCATTCTAAATTTAATTTGAGCTGATGAACACAAATGTTACTAGATTAGTCAAGGCTATATTTATTATTATTATTATCATAACTGAGGTGGCCCTGGTAGGCATTAGCCTATTATTTATGCTAATGCTGTTAAAAAAAAATAATCTTTGCTTGTATAATCCATTTGGGCTGGTCTAATAATTGTATTTTGCTTAAAGGTGAGACTAAAGGTGTCTCAAAAACAATACATCAAATTTAATGAAAATGTTACTGCAAATTGCTCTGTTTTTCAGAGTACTAGTAGAAAACCTTGTGCTGTATTAATCATTAATTGAGTCTGTAGGGTGGATTTTATTTTTGTTTACTTTCTAAAGATTATTTGTTCTGTCCTTCGTTAAACAGGTGTGATTTTGCCTTCATGTTGAATTCTTCTTGGACCAATAGCACAGGCTGAGTGCACAAGACAGAATGCCCCCTGGGTCTCCCTGAGGATGCCTTGACTTCTAAGTGTGCCAGTAGCTGCACGAGTGTATGCTTTGAGGAAATAAGATGGCACACTCACAATACACATTCATGGTCACCGTGGTCACCACAGGCTGGGAAGTGGCTTCATTGTTGGCATGACATGTCAGCTCTCTTCCATTGTCAGATTTCAGAGCAGTGAACCTTTTAGAGGTAACACAGAACAGAAAGAGTCACAAGTTTTGAAAAATTGTGGTGCACAGAGATCTTTTTGGTTGATATCAAAAATGAAGGATTCATTGAGGTGTATAAGAAAATTCATAACAAAGTAATTGAATTTAGAGCCCATATATTTTACAGATTCTTTAACATAGAATTATATATGTCCTTTTCTTAACACAATTTTTATTGATACAAGATACTTATGGCTTTCAACTACTAAAGATCAAAATGTCTGTTTATCAGAAAGTAAGTACATAAAAAAAATCATGGACATAGAAGGAGAGTAAGTCCTTGAAGTTCACGCTTGTTCATACAGGACTATAGAATTTGTGTTTTAAGGAATGCAAACGTGCAAAAACATGAATAGAACATTTTAAAATAAAGTTATTTGATTAGATTGAAATTAAGAATAAATGAAATGCTTTACTTTTCAATAACAGTTTCAAAGCAGATTTGTATCTGTTTAGCAGCCACTGCACCATTATCCAAAAACTGTCAAGCCAAAAATGTGATCCTGCTTACGCTGTGCAAAAGTGCTCAGTGAAGTCTGGGGAAAAGTATAAGAATCTAAGCATGCTAGTAAGTTTGCTCCTATACCATTTTGTACTTTAGAACCTTTTGTATGTTTGTACTTATATTTCTGTGGTCCAAAAAACCTGCCTGCTGCAGGACATCAGATTTCCATCATGTATCAACTTCTTTCCCAGCTTGGGGACATTTTTTTCTTGATTGGATGTCAGATAATTCAAAACAAATTAGAATAAAATGTTGTTGTTTTTTTTCACAGTGATGAAATTAAACCTATTTAGAGTAATTATTGCTTTTTAAAATGGATCAAAGCATTTTGCAGTAGGGTAAAATGACTCCCAAATTAGACCTGCTTGCTGTCAAATATTGTCAAATAATGATGCACTGCAGTTAGTAAAGTAATTAAATGTAAAAACTACAAAACAAATAGAAAGTTGTGCGCATTGCCGTTGTTACCAACATCCAACCCATATTTCCCCTTTCAGTCAAATGTGCCTAATTTTAAATCTGATTATTAAAAAAAACAAGTAGAGGCAAGACCAACTTAATTTCTTGCTCTAAATTGCACATGCATAAAAGTAAGGTATTGTAAGGTGTTGAAAGAAGGTAGGAAACACCTTCCATTTCAATTTTCCAAACCAGTGACAAATCAATAGTGAAAATGATATATTACTCTCAAAGCAGACTTCCTCCTTTTTCTTACCGCTTCTGTCTATTGACTGCTCTTTTCAAACAGTATGTTGACAAAATAAATCTAAATCAGAAATATCATACGAGTGGAAAAGTTGAATGTTAGCAATAATATACTGAATCATCTGAGGCAGTAAATTAAGAATGATATGACCTGCCGTTCTGAGATTTTGTGTTCATTTAGTTTTCACTTTGGATTTTCTGGTAGGCTTGAATTTGTTATTCTGTTTTCGCTGTTAAGAATTATATCATGTTTTGAATACTTTAGTTTTAGTTTTCCTAGTGGTGTGTTTTCAGTTATCTCTGGTCCATTTTCCTATCCTTTAGTTTTCCCCCTTGGTCATTCGTTGTTTCCTAATAATTGGTATTATTTACCTTCTTATTCATTAAAGTTCTTTTCTAGTTTTAGTTAAGCCCTGTTTACTCCTGGTTGTCCCTCTCCTTTCCAAACAGCTGCTTCTGTACACACCTGCTCCCAATTACCTAATAATTCCATTCATTATTCTTTCCTATATATACTCCTCATCTGCAGGTCCTCATTGCTGGTTTACTCCTCATTTATATTTCTCCTTTGTGTCTCCTAGTTTTGGTTCCCTGTTTATTATTTCTGGATTTCTCCTTCTCTTAACATCTACATAAAAATTAAATCTGCAATAAATCCTCTCTGCCTTTTCATTTTTGCATTGGGGTCCTCAACTATCTTCCTCTAAACTTCATACAGAGATTTTATAATTATTGCAGTACAGTAGATATATTTTCCAAACTATGTTGGGCATTTTAAATCAGCAACCTTATTTGTGTTTACTGTCTTGTGAGACATTTATGCTTGCAAAATTAGAGACCTATGCATATGTTTTTGAGAGACATCTTACCCCATATTAAATTACTCCATCTGCTGAAGATTAATAAAAACTGCATATGGTTTCAGGCCACAACATCCAAGTCAGTAACCAATAGGATATAACAATCAGCCATGCAAGGAAGAAATATTAATTTGCAGTAGCTGTGTCGATGCAGCCATTAGGCCAGCATAATGCAAAAGGCTTCAGTGGTAATAAAGACTTGTAGCAGGCGAATATTTGAGTTCAAAATTCAATATTCCACGCTGGTCCCTCTTTTTTGGTCTGGGAGAAAAGATCTCTTAGGGATGATTCTGTACGTCAGTAAATCAAAAGAAAATGTGCAGTATGAAGTGGTAGAAAACTTTAAAGTAGCTTTCATTCTTATCTTGTTTGAAATTCAGTTTATGCCTTTTACACAGAGTTACAGTACATGACAGCTGTTGAAATCCCACAAGGCCTTCTGCTCTGCATGTTCACTGTGATTATGAAAAAAAGAGCACCAAAATTGCTTAAGACCTTAGTTCCAACTGTGTTGAATAAGACAATAGCACAGCTCCTCAGTACAAATGTTATTTCAGAATATGACAAGAGGTTATTATCTCTGACACTGAGGAGACGTGCAGGATTAAAGCAATCTATGCCCCTGTTTAATGTATAGGCACCTGGTAAACCTGCGAGGTTCAGCTCTGTCTCGCTTCTGCAATGTAATTTCGTGCATTTGACAGGAGCTAATTCAATCGAGCGACGCCAAGAAACAGTTGACTTGTGTGTGTACAGAGATTCATTGTATTCGCTAAGACAGATGGAGAAAATAAGAACACTTTGAAAACAAGGGAAACAAGGAGCCCAGGCAGGCTGAAGGGAGATTGAACAGCCTGGTAGAGGAGAATGAGTCTGGCAGGCGGTGGAGCACATACGTTACTTCGGCGTGCGTGTTCAGAAGCTTATCCTTTGAGCCAGATGTGGTAAAAGACGTTGCACCTGTCAGATCGACTCCATCTAAAAAAGACACAGTGGGGAGAAGATGCACAAATAAGAAGAGCACTCACTATAGATGTGTTCACAGGAGTCAGATGCATCGGAATTGCTATAATTTGAGCAGTGACAAGTTAAATATGCAAATATATTTATCATTGTGTGCCATAGTTATACCACCTCTGTTTTGATGTCTTTAAATGTTTGTAAATAGATTAAGATGCATACAAAAAATAACCTTTTAACCTAATTTCCCCTAAAAACAAAGACAACAGGTCATGTGATGTTTTGGCCCCAAGTACTTTAACAGGCAGTTTGCTTAAATGGACAAGAAGAAACTTGTTAAATATACTGTAAGAGTCAGGGAGAAATTGGAAATTTAAACATTTGGGTTATCCTCCCACACAGTCTCTCTTCCTATTCTAAAAATATAATAAAAACACAGAAAAACTGAATTTCATCCTTTAAGATGTTTCTGCTCTTAAACATCAAGGTCACAACTTATAAAAATACTAAATGTAGAATATCTTAAAATGACCACAATGCTTATTTCCCCCAACTGTTATTGTCATATAAACTAACCTGAATATGTTCTCACCTTTATATAGGCAGATATCAGCATCAGGTTTTGCGTCAGGGGCCACACACTCAATCCTATACTTTTTCCCTGCCACCCAGGGTGTCTTCACGTCCATGATAAAATATGGCTTTGAAGGAGGAACTGCAGATATAAAACAACCATTAAGTGTTTGAGAAATCCAAATTACAGTAACTTGAAAAGTATTCATAATTCATGGTCTTTCATATTCTATTGTGTGAAAAAGATCCAAATCCAAAAGTTTGTTGGATTTGTACACCACAAAGTGGTGCAAAATTGTGAACATATCTGGTTACTGGTACAAGTATGGACGTGTATTCTGATCCCTTTAGAGACAATCTAGTGGAACCAATTACAAGTTCATTAATTGGTTGAATTCACCTGCGTATAATTCAACCCAGAGAGACTCACACAGTGAAAAGCTGCAATTAGAAAAGTTTTATTCAATACAATGCAGTTTATTTATATAGCACCAATCCACAACAAATGCAACCCCCAAGGCACCTCACAGAGACCACCCAAGGAGATAGAAGCAGATATACAGATATTGACATGTGTTATTCCTCTTGTTGCACGATGGGTTGCAGGTTTTCTTTTTTACAGGTTTTTATTATTTAGGTAGTCTTCAAAAAAAAAAAAAAGTGAAAACTAAAATACGAAATGCACAGCATTATAACGGTGTCAGCTAAAATGCTGAAACGAATCAGACCATTGCAGAAAATAAACAAAATGACAAACAAAACAGAACTTGTTGGCTGCGTGCATGATGAGAGACTGTAATGTCATTGGTGTCTTTAGTCCTGAAGTTGTGTGTAACCGTCCTTCTTAAAAAACTTAAACAGAGCTTATCTTCTGTGACCTATTCCCTGACGTGCTAATGTCCTTCTGAAGTTTAAATGTCAACGTTGGGGTGTTATCACATGCACACACATTGAGGTTGCATATTAAAATAAAAGTTCACCCTTAACACAGGTAAGTATTAAAAAAATATTTTGCATGAAAAAGTTACAACAGTTACAGTTACAACAGTTTGCAACAGTTACAATATGAATGAAAGAAGTTACTTGGTGCTGGAGCCTGGCAGAAGACTTTGATACTGAGGATCGACATTCACTTGGATGAGTAACCTAGGAAAATTATTGGAGTGGTCTTCTCCAGAGGCCCGGACACAGGTAGTGGAACAAGCCAGACGGTGAGTGGGACTGAGATGGAGGAGATGAGGTGGGTGAACGTTCACTGGTGTGCGAGAGAGAAGCTAGGCCAGGAGCTAAATGAAAGAGATCTTGAAATATGATTGGCTTTAGAGGAGGTGCCGTCTTTCAGGCTTCCAGATTGAATTTCCCTTAAGCTTCATTTCATTTTCAATCTAATTAGATTGAATTAAAAAAGATGATATAGTTTTTATTAATCCCAAAATTTAACATTGTTACTCAGTTTTTTTGATTAGGTGTTTTTCATGTTAATAGCTTTTGGCAGGGAGGATCCCTTGTAGAGATCTGCCTTGTAGCAGATCTAGAAAAGCTTTTCACTGAAGACACTCTATTGTTAAACAGACTTGAAGAGAAATTTCAGTATTTTCCATAATGTTTTTCATTCAATTCTGCTTTGTAAAATCATTGCCAGGAATTCTACCGGAGTCAACAGTTACGACAACACATGACAAAGTATAAATCTACAATTGCCTCAATTGTTTTATTTGCATTTAGGATTACAGACTGCAACCAAGTAGTCCACCAGCTCTCTGTACTCCATCTTTGACAGACACAACTGCAGAGTCAGAGAATTTCTGATTATAACAAAAGTGTCTTGTATTGGAATTTAGAGGCAAACAGTAAAAAGGAATGGTGATTGAGCTTACAATCCCCTGCAGTGCTCATATGATGCTGACTACCTCATAAGAGACTACCTTCAGTCTCACAAAGTGTGGTCTGTCAGGTAGTCTGTGATACAGGCAGTTGTTAAGGCCACCATCTGAGTCCTCTGGAGTTTCTAACCCTGTAATCAGGCTGAATTGTACTAAATGAATGGGGGAAAAAAATCAAATAACATGATCATCATAGTTATGTCTGCCTAGTTCAAATTCCTATGATTTTGATGAATTAGGTGTATGATGGCATTTTCAACTTAAGTTACACAATGAAAAGCAAACTGCATGTGTTCATGATACTGATTCTTTGCTTGCTCAGATGGGCTAACAAGTGTCTCTCTAAGACCTTCAGGAATTGGCATGTCGGGGTAACAGGTCTATATTCATTAAAGAATGATGGCTGATCTTTCTTTTTTTAGGCTGATCTTTCTTTCATTAGACCAAGGCAGGAATTCTTCTACAACACTGGAACTGTCTCCTTGGTCAAGTTAAGGTTAAAGAGGTGCTATAGAATTCAAGAAACCTGCACTGCAAAAGCCTTCAGGACTCTGGCCGTGCCATGTGGACACGGTACCTTAGTTTGACTTAATCTTCCCAGTTGCCTCTACAGTTGAGTTCTGGAGACAGACAGTTGGAAGAGAGAAGCAAAGAAAGACACTTCAATTTGATCTTTCTACAGTGGGGAGAACAAGTATTTGATACACTGTTGATTTTTCAGGTTTTCCCACTTGCAAACCTTGTAGAAGACTGTAATTTTTATCATAGGTACTCTTCAACTGTGAGTGATGGAATCTAAAACAAAAATCCAGAAAAATACAATGTATGATTTTTAAATAATTAATTTCCATTTTATTGTGTGAAATAAGTATTTGATACACCAGAACAATGAACCTTAATATTTGGTACAGAAACGTTTGTTTGCAATTACAGAGATCAGACGTTTCCTGTAGTTCTTGACCAGGTTTGCACACACTGCAGCAGGGATTTTGGCCCACTCCTCCATACAGATCTCCTCCAGAGCCTTCAGGTTTCGGGGCTGTCGCTGGGCCACACAGACTTTAAGCTCCCTCCAAAGATTTTCTATTGGATTCAGGTCTGGAGACTGGCTAGGCCACTCCAGGACCTTAAAATGTTTCCTACGGAGCCACTCTTTAGTTGCCCTGGCTGTGTGTTTTGGGTCGTTATCATGCTGGAAGACATCTCACGATACATGGCCCCATCCATCCTTCCCACAATATGGTGCAGTCGTCCTGTCCCCTTTGCAGAAGAGCATCCCCAAAGAATGATGTTTCCACCGCCATGCTTCACGGTTGGATGGTGTTCTTGGGGTTGTACTCACCATTCTTCTTCCTCCAAACATGACGAGTGGAGTTTAAACCAGAAAGTTCTATTTTTGTCTCATCACACCACATGAACTTCTCCCATTCCTCCTCTGGATCAATGATGCTCAACGAGGTGAGATCTTGCATGGCGCCCCAGACCGAGGGAGATTTTCCGTTATTTTGTATTTCTTCCATTTTCTAATAATTGCACCAACTGTTGTTACAGTACCTTCTCACCAAGCTGCTTGTCTATTGTCCTGTAGCCCATCCCAGCCTTGTGCAGGTCTACAATTTTATCCCTGATGTCCTTATGTAACACAGTAAAGAAGGGTATTAAGTATTTTAGATAAATGGGCCAATAGGTTCGGCTATGGGAGCATAGTGGGGTGTTTAAATGACACACAAAAGTGGTTGGATGGATTTAAAGAACAACTGGCTTTAGTGATATGAAATGTAACATTGTACAAAACAGTTGTATGAAACACAAAATCATGAAAATAAAATACACACAATAAAATCAACAATGAAATAAAATAATAGCAATACTTGGCCAAGTTCTAATTCTCAGTTCTAAATATCTTGGGTGCACCCTTTTAATATGAATTCAAATTTGTAATAAACAATTCAGATTAAATTCAGTTCCAATTCAGGTCTGACTCATCATCATTCACCTGAGGAGAATGTCCACCACAGTGGTCTGTTCTAATGTCCGAACTAAATCTTGTAAAAAAAATAAGGTCTTAAATCCCAGAATGAAACAATAAAAGTGAAAAAATGTCAGTCAATGGTCCCGTGCATAACCAACTGTGCGTGAAGATGTGAGTGAAACAGGCCTACCACACCGCAGGGTGCAGCAGGACTCCAAATGGAAAAGAATGAGTCCAGTTCTTTCTCTAAGTCCAGGTGGGAAGGCTCGCCATCAATCACCGGAGGAATCCATCTCAGGAATAATCCAGCATAAAGAAAAAAACCTGACCTGTCAACAGACAGGACCAGCAGAATAACAGAATTTTTATTAAGCTGTTCTAGCTTTAATCCCTGAATCATGCTTCTCTAGACATCATATCCAACATCAATGTGTTAAGTTACTCAAATTTGAAATAACCATTTCCCTTTTACCTCAATGCAGTATTTCACCACATTATCAATTCACTTATTCTTCTAATTGTAAAATATTTTTCAACACAATAATAAAACATTACATTTTAACCAACTCAGTAAAAGTTTACATTTTAATTATTAACTACATCCAACTAAATGCTATTATTTAACAGCAATGTGATAAACAGAACAAAAACCTAAAGGAAATGCACAAAACATGCTTACCGATCTCACTGCAACCTGTTTGGGACAACAATATGATGGCTCTCAGTCTAGACAGGTGGGGCACTTCAACTGAATGGAGAACAAAATGAACCTCCAGAAACTAATAGCTAAGAGCTAACAAGGCTGGCTAGCAAGGTAGGTTTAATGCTCGGCAGAAAACTTTAGTTTTTAACTCACCTCAACTATTTCCAGCTTGAACTGTGGATGATAAACGGTAATTTTAACTGCAACTGTTTGTTTTAAGTTTGTATCCGAACTATAACTGTCAGACTATCACACTGCACAGCTCAGCAGTCTCCTCTTCATGCCAGAACTGGTACTGCAGACGCAGGGAAGCAAGACGGGACCCGCGCGGCAGTGGTCCTCTGACTCTTAAAGAGACATCGCCATTTTATGTATGTTACACTTACACAGCTCTCTGGACTTGGGCATTGTGGAGATGCTGGAGTGTGATTGATTGAGTGTGTGGACAGGTGTCTTTTATACAGGTAACGAGTTCAAACAGGTGCAGTTAATACAGGTAATGAGTGGAGAACAGGAGGGCTTCTTAAAGAACTAACATGTCTGTGAGAGCCAAAATTCTTACTGGTTGATAGATGATCAAATAC